CGTCAGACCAACCTGATTTTCTTCTTTGATCGTGTGACGAGCTTACTGGATCGTGGGAACTCTGTTGATGTGATTTACCTGGATTTCAGTAAAGCTTTTGATAAGTTTACCCATGACATTCTGATGGGGAAACGAGGAAAACTGTGGACTGGACTATAGGACAGTTCAGTGGATAGGGGACTGGTTAGAGGACCGCACCCAAAGAGTGGAGGTCAATGGCGTTTCATCAGATTGGAGGGACGTGCCCAGTGGGGTGCTGCAGGGCTTGGTTTTGGGCCCAGTACTTTTTAATTCAATGATCTGGATGGGCTACTCATTAAATTTGCTGATGATAACAAATTGGGAGGAGTAGCAAACACCCAAGAAAATAGAGTTAAAATTCAACAAGACCTGAATACTCTGGAGAAGTGGGCAATTGCAAACAGGATGCAATTCAACAAAGATAAATGCACAGTATTACATCTGGGACACAAAATGTCAAGCACAAATACTGGATGGGGGATACGTTTTTAGGGAGTAGTGTATGCGAAAGAAATCTTGGGGTAAGGGTGGACTGTAAACTGAGTCAGTGTGATGCAGTGGCAAAAAAGGCTAATTCAGTCTTGGGTTGTATTAGAAGGGTCATAGCATTGACATTGCTGCACCTTGAATAACGTGTGCAGTTCTGGAGGCCTCACTTCAAAAAGGAAGTGGGCAAAATTGAGAGGGTGCAGAAGAGAGCAATGAACAACTTCAGAGGACAGCGGAAGACAGGAGGGCCTGGCGGGAGCTGGTCCATGGGGTCGCGAAGAGTCGGACTCGACTGTGCGACTGAACAACAACAACAACACATTTATGGGCTGAATGTCTACAGACATTGTAATTAATTTGTAACAGTAATGCATTTTAGTAGGTGAGAATGTGCATGGTTTCATGGCAGGTCAAATACATTACTGTAAATATTACAATATATTTACCAATTTCAACTGTGTATTTAAATCTAACACAATTCTTCAACACATTGATTGCAATCCAGCAAAGTCTTCTTTTTTTTTGCTTGCACAGTCTCTTGTCTGATGGCAATGTGTTTATTTTTTCTTTTACTGTTGCAGCAGCATTCCTTTATGCTACGCTGCACTACACTTTTGAACACTCAGGCCAAGTTTTAAAAGAATTTTTTAAAAGAATTTTAAACTGGGAAAGGGAGATGCTTTAGGCTGGTCCTGCATTGGGCAGGGGGTTGGACTAGATGGTCTGTCTGGCCCCTTCTATGATTCTATGATAATTAAAAGCAAATTCCTAACAGACATCATGCTCCAAAAATCCAGCTAAAATATAAAATTGGTGTGTGTCTGTGTATGTGTGAAGGCAGCAGCAGGATAAAACAAGATTACAATATAAAGAAGAGCATAAAACCAGCAGCAAAATAAAGACAATACAGAACATCTGGACAGTCTAAAATCTTCAGCAGCGCTACATTTGATCTCACTAAAAGGCTCTCCAGAAGAGTGGTATTCAGAGCCCACTGGAAGGCCAACAAAGAAGGGGGTACACAGACCTCTACACTCCACGCATAGTGGCACTGCTGAGAAAGTCCAGGTATAGGCGCTCACCAGCCTCACTTCTGATAGTGCCAGTGCCTGTTCCTGCAGCACAGCATCAATGATGATCTTAAAAACCACGCAAGTACATGTGGGTGGAGCAGGTGCTCCTTCAGGTAATTTGGACCTAAATCATTTAGGGCTTTAAAGGTCAACATCAATAAGCTTCAAGTGAGCCCAGATGCAAAATGGGAGCCACTATCATTGACAGAGCTTCAGCGACACATCTTTAAACATGCAGCCATCTGTTAGTATTCTGACAGCTGAATTTTGCACCAACTGAAGTTTCCAGTCAGTCCTCAGGGGGGTAGCCTCAGGTACAGCATGGTACAATAGCCCAAGCTCAATGTTATCAAGGCACAAGTGACCATGGGCAGGTATGCTTTTCCCCGAAATGTTTTTTAGTTGGTGAGAGAGCCTCAGGTGGCAAAAGGCAATTATGGCCATCTTCATCTCCTGCTTTTCCAGGGACAGCAAAGAATCCAGAAGTACCCCCAAACCATAGAGAGCTGTTCTGTGAGTTTGCTGGTCTGTTCTAGAACAAATATAGATATCTACATCCAGATAGCTTCGGTCCCAAGCTACGGCATGCATGTCCTATCTGGATTAAGTTTCAGCTTGGCCGTCCCACATCCAACCTTTAGTGGAACTCATGGGCTGATCTAGTCAAGCATTACAGGCACACTAGAGCCCCACGCTGCTGGAATGTGTGTTGCTGAGTGTTACAAAAAGGCTGTTATCCATCCCTAGGCCTTCAAGGCTATTTTGTTCAGAAAAAGTCAGCTAAGTAAGCAAGAGAGAGATCTTTTCTCAAGTCTTCTCATACACATGGCCATCCAAAAAGCACACAAGAATAAGGAGATTAATCAAAGCCTTGCAGGGAATGCCAGAACGTTCTAAACAAGCAACAGTGGAGTAAACATTGTTTACTAGCACTGCCACATTATTTTACTCCCCCCACAAATACCCGCGACCCAAAGAGAGTAATCCTAAGCAGAAACCTAAAAGGTCTATTCAGTGGGGCTTAGTCCCAGGAAAGGGTTCTTAGGATCGCACTGTAATGATCTGTTTCATACCTAGCCTTAGTATTACTGGAATCAAACTGCAGTGCTGATCACTCTTACTGCCACATGCTTTAACTTTTCTCTCATCACAAAAGATGGGGTGGGGTGAGGGAGAAACAAAGAGGACTTTCTTCTGCTGGTCTTTACTACCACAGAATGTGTGCCTTCTAGGGAAAGACCCGGTAAAAGAGACCAGAATATTTTATGTGACAAACAAAGCTTCACTTCATACTTTCCAACGAAAGAGATGAATAAATGCTGCAAACTAAGACAGTGTGGGACTTCAAGCTACATTAATGGGGGTGGGGGAAGAGACAAAACTGTAGGCCAACCAATTAGATCAGGGTTTGACCACTCTGGGGTGCCACGCTGCCATGGAGCCTAGAAATTTCACTGGGGTTCCCTGGGGTTCTTAGCCGCTGACCCATCAGGCCCACCTGGCCATCCTTGCTTCCTCCAGCTGTAATCAGAGCACACTCACTCCTAAAGTTTGTTTCACCCCTAACGTTTTGGGCTGGCTTCTAGATTCAAAGAAGATTTGTCAAGGTCTATGAAGCTTGAAATCATGCAGCAAAAAAAATTAAATCGACGGTTCTCAAACTGTGGACTGGGAAGGGAGTCATGTACATCCAGAAAAAGTTTCTTCTCAGAATATATTAAACCCGGGGGTCGTTTCGTAGAAAAAGAGCTAGGGGAACTCATTAGCATAACTCATTAGCATATGCCACACCCCTGATATCACCGGAAGTGTGTCATAAGGCCACACCCCCTGACATCACCGGAAGTGTGTCATAAGGCCACACACCCCGCCCCCAACGGTCCTGGCCGCCAGGAGAGGCAGGGAGGAAGCAACTTACCCTCCCTCTTCTCCTGCCTCCTCCTGGCTGAATGAGGGCCGGAAGCGGGGCGGCCGGAAGCAGGGGGCGGGGCTTCGTCATGTGCCCCGCCCCCCGTACCTCACTCGGGGGAACTGCGATCCCTCGCGAACCCCCCCGAAATGACCTCTGATTAAACCTCACCTGTGCTAACAACAGAAACTGCAGAAATGCATGAAACACATAGAAGCTTCGGTTATAACAGGTCTTCCCTGTCTGACTTGTTTCAGAAGAAGATGCTCTGTTCTATTTGTCTTCTAATGCCAACCAGGGTCAATACGCCCGAAAATCCTTATGTCATTTCCCGTTGCAGATGCTGGCAGCACTTCGAATCCAGAGATTATGTGAGAAAAGCAAAAGGAAGGCCGACAAGGCGCAAAGCCATGCTCAAATTCAAGTGAGTCCAGGAATCCCCCCTTGTATTGGAGTAAGCAGTACGGAACTGGAATGGTCACGGCAGCAGCAGTACTCCATGGAACGCACCCAGGAAGAGGGGAAATGGATCACTGTCCTAGGCAGCTGCCGGATACAGTCAAACCACTGGTCTACCAAGATCACGGCTGTCAATTCTGTCTGGCAGAGGCTCTCTGGGATTCTCAGGCAGAGGTCTTCCACAGTACCTACTACCTGATTGTTTTAACTGAAGGTGCCAGAGATAGACAGAGCATGCAAAGAAGATGCTCTAGCACTGAGCCATGGTCTCATCCCATGGTATGAGAACACAGTGATTCTTAGCTTTCAGCAGCTGCATGGATTATGCTTTCTGAATGACCCTGCCGGCTGCCTGCCTCATTCCCTGCAGCGGACTCACTGAACTGTGCAATAAGAATTAAATTACTAAGAACTGGGGAGTCCAAACATGATGCTTCAAAGTTCAAATACACTACAAACACACCACATTCACAATTTAAAATGGCAGGAAAACAGAAACTTCCTTAGATTCATAGCAAAAATCTTCTTTGCTATTCTAAGACAGGGTGTTCTTTTTTTACACATAACCAACAACTAACCAAATTACAGCAGAAGCCTTTTACACTTGCAAACCAAAGCAAATTTTGAAGCATAATGTTCGGAGCAGCATCCTGCAGGCAGAAGGAGCATTCTCTGGCTAGTTGGTACAGGTTGTAGTCCTTCCCAGTTGCTTTTTAGCTGAGTTTTCATCCACAAAGGAAAATCACAGAGACCCTGCAACCCACCATCTGGGGTCAACAAGCTGATATACAAAATACCCATGATGAATGGGTTCCACCTGTCCTGGCTACTTTGGCTTAACAACCAGCTTTCAGCCTCCCTTAAATAAGGCCTGGCGTACAGCCACATTTACCATCGAACACCCTATGCTAGAGACTGAGTGCATTATGATAAATGTAAAACTTAATAGGTACAAGAGGACATGATGGGGTCGGGGGAGAGGAGGAATCTGAGCTAGAGACATAATCTGAAACAAAGTGAGCATTGTTATAGATGGATTTCTTACTTACCCTGGAGAGATTTCCCCAAACCCTGGCCCAGCTTCCAACCATGCTTCTGTAGCAGGCGGTGTCCAATATTATCCTGACAGACAGAACAGAGAAACAAACCAAAAATATTCCAATAATATATTCTTCCCTTCCCAAAGACATTTAAACACATGATGAACAAGGAAAATCTTCTACATATATGCATGCAAAAATAAAATAAACCACTAATGGGCAATATTTGCCCAAGGGGGAAAATACGGATATCAATTTTAAAAAAAAAGGAAAGAAAGAAGCAAAACAAGACAAAAAAATACAGCTGGCAAAGATTCTTCCATGGGAACAGGGTTTCAGGGAGGATGATCATATTTTCTGATGGTGTGCTGGGCAACTTTTATGCATAACGGGGGGGAGGGGGAGAAGCAAGGTGGGAGAAAATAAAATTTAAAAATTGACATTTGAAAAGCATGACATCAAAACTACTTATACAATCATATCCATCACCTAAAGAGCACCACTTGATTTGTGCAAAGAAAAACAGTGTGTTTAGTCTATAAATTTTACTTGCTTGTGCATCAGACTTTGAGAAGATCACGTTAAGTTGTTAAGTGTCAGACTTGCCCCCACCACTAGAAACCAAAACACAATCAGAGCAAAATCCAGGCTAGACTTGATTGGGTTTTTGTTTGTTTGTTGCTTTAATATAAATTTATATATAAAATATATATAAAACGAGCATGCAGCCAATTAAACTGAAAAGATAGTGAGGTTAGTAAAAACACAAATTTAAAACATAAACCAATTAAAAGAAACAAAAAATAAATACGAACTAAAAATGAGCTCAAGCACAGACTGAGTGATGCATTTCACATATAAGCTAACAGAAGTACTAAGACATTAGAATGGAACAGGCCTAGCAAAAGGTTAAAACAGCAAGGAACCATTAGTGCATGTAGGGAGAAAACACAACAAGCATAATGTCTCATCTCCCCAAAGGAAAAAAAAATCAAAAATGGACCAAAATGAATGCAAGTAGAGGGGAAGTGATGCGGCAACTGAGTGTCAGCTTTTGCATAAGAAATAAAGAAAATAGGTTTCCTAATATATTTTAAGGGCTAGATTTATAACCACAGAGGTACTGGGGTTCAGGTGTAATGCTGTTAACCTCAGATACATGGGGGATAGTTCCATCAACTCAGTTGTGATTAAACTGCACTCCGCTCATGGTCAGAGTTGCACCTTTTCAATTAACCAACGGGCAAATCCCTAGTCCATGTCTGTCTCCCATGGAAAACTTTCCATTTCTAAAAAAAGGAGAATATTAATAAAATTAACAGCAGTTAATGGATGTCATAACCAATGCAATATTGGGCAAGCATGACAAAGTTTGATTCCAGAGGCACCTTTAAGACCAAAAAAGTTTAATTCTCGGTATAAGCTTTCGTGTGCACACATATGCACATGAAAGCTTATACTCATAATTAGACTTCGTTGATCTTAAAGGTGCCGCTGGAATCAAACTCTGAAACTGTTATGCTTGCCCTATATTGTACTGGCTATGGCATGTACATGTACATGAAAGCTTATACCCATAATTAATCTTTGTTGGTCTTAAAGGTGCTATAGGAATCACACTTTGTTCTATTGCTTCATATTAACAACCCACCCGAATCTAGTTTCAAAGTTGTAATCAATGCTTTTCAGGTGATCAATCCTGAATTGTGCAAGAGGGAACATGTATGTTTTCTTGTTTTTTAAAAGACGGGAGGTGTGTGTGATAAAACCACAAGTATATAGAATAATCCAAATTAAAAAATCAAGTTATGAGTTTACCTGATTCACAGTTCAAACCAAAATTAAAGTTCTTATTTATATGTATCCTTTTGTATGGTGGAAAGGACATTGTAATTACCTATCTGATATTGAACCAATAAGTAATGCAAGTGTTGATTGAATAGAGCCACAGTGAAGCTGATTTTCTGGACCCATTTCAACCTGGCTTCAGGCCGGGATTTCGAACAGAAACTGCTTTGGTTGCCTTGGTTGATGAGTTCTACTGAGAAGTAGACAGGGGGAATGTGACCCTGATAGTTCTGCTGGATCTCTCAGGTGCCTTCAACACTATTGACCAGAGGATCCTACTGAGCCGCCTTTTGGCACTGGGGGGTGGGCACCATGTTACGGTGGTTTGAGTCCTATCTGGAGGATCAGTCTCTTAAGGTGGTGCTGGGGGATCCTCTCTGTCCCATGGCCATTGACCTGTGGGGTTTCATAGGGTTCAATCTTATCCTCCATGCTATTTAATACCTATGTGGAGTCGCTAGGAGAGGTCATCAGGAGGTTTGGGCTGTGGTGTCACTGTCATGTGGATGATATCCAGCTCTACCTTCCTTATCCACCTAATTCCAAGAATGCTGCTGATGTTCTGAGCTGGAGTTTGGAGTCAGTGGGCTGGATGAGGGGAAGCAAGATGAAACTCAAACCTGACAAGATAGGAGCTTTTTCCTGGCTTCAGCTGATGCATCAGTTATGTCCGTTCCTGGTTAGTTACACCTAGACTGGACTACTGCAACGTGCTGTACTTGGGCCTACCCTTGAAGAGTGTTGGGAAGCTGCAACTAGTACAGAAAGCTGTAGATAGACTGCTGGTAGGGGCCAATTTTCAGTAGCACGGGACCCGAATGCTATAGCAATTATACTGCCTACTGATCCGTTTCTGAGCCTGATTCAAGCTGTTGTTTCTTATCTTTAAAGCCCTATGTGGCTTGGGACCAGGGTGTCTAAAGGATCATCTTCTCCCATGTGTTCCTGCCTGGGAATTAAGATCACAGGGAGAGGCCCTCCTGACTGTCCCACCAATCAAAGATCACTTTTTGGTGGTTAACATAAGAACATAAGAACATAAGAGAAGCCAATGTTGGATCAGGCCAATGGCCCATCCAGTCCAACACTCTGTGTCACACAGTGGCCAGAAATACCAGGGGCCATCAGGAGGTCCACCAGTGGGGCCAGGACATTAGAAGCCCTCCCACAGTTGACCCCCCCCAGCACCAAGATGACAGAGCATCACTTGCCCCAGAGCCCCTATCTATACCTTGTGGCTAACAGCCACTGATGGACCTCTGCTCCATATGCTTATTTAATGGTTATGGAATGATTATGGAATGACCCTGCCAGGGAGGTCTGCCTGGGGCCCCTCACTTTTGATCTTTAGGAGGCAAGGGATGGTTTTATTTAGGACTGCATTTGGTGAATTAACTAAGTGGGTCTAAATTGTGATCTGAAATTTTGTTTTTTTAAAAATGTATTTTTGTATTCTATTTTATGTATTTTTATCTATATTGTAAGCCACCTTGAGCTCTGTAAGGTAGAAAGGCGACTAATACATGTTTTAAATAAATACACCAAGTTGCCCCAGTGACGTTCATGGAAGAGTTAAATGCTATTCAAAGATGCGTAGGCACAAACGTGCATGGCATAGTATGCACAGTTCTTTGGATGTGCTAAAATTACAGTGCAATCCTATTCAGAGTTACTCCAGTTTATTCCATTGATTTCAATGGGCTTACACTGGAATAACTCTACATAGGCTTGCACTGTTAGCATACCAGCAGTTTTCAGTGGGTTTGTTTTCCCCCCCTTAAAGTTAAACACTGTAAGGGAAATACATGCAATATTGTCTTCAAATCTTACATGTATTGATCCAATAAAATAATTTCCACATAAAGCTGTGCTGTGGTTTGAATATAACATTTAAACCAAGCTCGATACAAATTATTTAGCTCAAGTATTTCATGCTATTGGGGCATTAATTAACATGGGTACTTTGAAATGATAGTTTACTAAACGTAAGTCAAAATAAATATGCTAAGATCTGGTCATACTTTATTTAGGGTACCTTTCAATCCGTATTTTTCCAGAAAACCTGTATCATTACTAAGGTGGTGGTGGGGGAATGGCGTAAGGGGAAGAAAAATGGCTTGGGGGAGGAAAGAGGGGCATTTGGAGCTAAGAATCCGGGGGCACTGGAGGGGCTAAACACCAATCACCTCAAGTGTGTCTCCCCATCATATTCCCATTATTTCAGCAAGCAAAAGATCTTGGGACATGTGTATATTGAAGCAAGTTATTACTTCACCCTCTGTCATAGACTTAAGAACTGAATCTGGTTATGGATACCTCTGCAGAGTTATCTAAAGAAAGATGGTAACAGCTGTGGAAATTTGTCTCTTTGGCCAGAAAAAAAAGGGGGGGGGGATCAATATCATATCTCATACATTTTGGAATCTAGCACCAGCTCAGATTCAGTCTCATATAATTTACAGTTCTTAACCAAAAGAGCAAAAGAAGAAATATTCAACCAGTGAGTTAATTTGCAGATCAATTTTTAAACCTCTGTCATGAGGAACAGTTTCCAGAAGTGCCAAGCAGGAGGCCCAAGTTGCAATAAAACTGCAGTATGGCAAATTACACTTCAGTGCATCAGTCTCATTAAATACTACATTCATCTTAAACACTGGTCAAGCTGCTAGAAGATATGAGGGACAGGCAGAGATGCCAACTACAAATAAAGAAAAGGTGTTGCTAGGGGAGGGCTTCTTTTACAGTATCTCATTCAATTCTAGTTTATGCAGACCACGGGCTCTTGCTACAGGTTTGGAGTATCTACTACACTATTTGGCCACAGTACGAGTCTCAAAAGACAATACACACATATTTTTAAAAACCTGGTGCCATCCATAGTGAGGCTGAATCAAACTACATCCACTCATCTAGCTTGTTGAGTCAAATAAAACCTACAGATAGTGTCACTGGCTTAACTTTATTTAGGTTACAGAATATAACCTGTATGCCAAGTGACAGAGTAAACCCAAGATCAATACCTAAAAGTGTTGACATTTTGATTAAGTTCTGTTTTATTAAAATCACAAAAAGTAATTTTGTTGGGTAGAAAGAGACAGGAAGTGAAGCTTTCTTAAATATAATTTTAAAATAATTTATACTGAAAGGGAAGGATAATGCTATCATAAAACTATTGTGAAGGTATTTGTTCCTCTCTTCTTTCTGATGATAGGGCATTAATGTAGCGCTGTATAT